TATGAAAAATGTTGAAAATTTATGTTCTTAATTATTCAAAAAGAATTGGTGCGACTTCTACTAGGAATGCGGCTTCTAATACAGATTTTATGGCAAGTATATTGTGGCTGATGCTACAAACTTAAAAAAAAAAGTCAACTAGGTTTATGTATTAGTCATCCATAATAATTTCCAAGGTTAGCTCCCTTCAGTTCGGTTCAATGTCTCGCTTTGAAAAAAAAACACCTTTCCCCCCAGGAGTCCTATTTTTGCCTTCACTGCCATAGAGGGCGCTGGCTATTAAATTATATATACCGTACCCCAGGTTTAGGGGTGATAAAACCTGTTTGGGAAGACAGCTAAGGTAGTATTGTAACTGACAAGATAAACTTGGTGCTTCATGCCAGTTTTCTATTACATGGGTGTGTATATTGCAACATTTAGTACATCGTAGATTCAAGCACAACTGTGTATCTTGCCATTCAATAGTATGGGAGGGATGAAAGTATTGTTGCTGGCTATCAATATATTTGTGGAATCTGGTTCGAACTCTACAGGTCATTGGTCTATTGTGACAATACAACCCAGTGGTATATTTGTAAAATATGGTCAATCGGATGCTAATGGGAGTAAACGGTCTGCTTAGTGTATTGCTCATTTACTGGAACAAATATTCTAAACAGGCCATTAACCGCAGTTGGCATCCGAGTTGAAATACTACTGCAAATTTGGAGAGTTTTCTCTGCAGTCTCATCTTGGGTGGCGTTGTCACTGCATACGTGTGTTGCGTAACCCCTTTTGTACTACAGCATGATGAACCAATGACCTTAACTAAACTTCATGTTGCATTCAACATTTATTAGTGACAATGGAAATCCTTTCTTCCAATCCATGGGGCTGTATCCCAAACAAATGGCCAATTTTTTAAATAGTGAAGTAAACGTACTGTCCACTCGTGCGAGAATTCTGAAAAAAAAAACACTTTCGTGTTAAACAGGTATGGTATTATTGAGAACAAAGAAACTAGTGAATAGGTACTGTTTGGAACTACCAAAGAGTACGTTCATAGGGAACACTGAACGAAAACTGTTTGATATTGAAGTTTATCAGACTATTAGACCAATAGAAACAAGACAAAGTTTTATTGCTACTATGAGCGTCCTCGTAGCCATGCTTTAACTGATAAACGCTGCATTATTTCTGTTCAACTGATAATTTGTTCTCATATACAGGAAAAGTTTTCATACAAAGTAATTACATATTGGAAAACGCAGTGTCTTGGATGTCCTTGTAGTCGTACATTAAAGGACGATAGTCGCCACACATTCTGTTCAATATGGGATTTATAGTGACGTACAAAACGATTGTAAAACATTGTTTACATGAAAAATGTGCTGCATGGCGACAACCTCCCTTTAACTATCAGTAGATACTGTGTTTTTACTAATTTACCCATGTCGTCATACAGTATGCTTTGAGTCGATTCATGCAAGGGGATGATCAGGAGGAATTAAAACTTGACACATCTAGAGGCACTCTATGCAATATATCCATGTTTTCATCATTATGGGACATTTGGAAGCAAAGTAAACACAATATTCAATACATTTTTGTCTTTTTTATTAATAAATGTACATGTTCTGTACAAGTCAAAGTATTTTTGTTATACTAAAAACAAAATATGTAAATGTCAAAACATTTCTGTAACATTAAAATACTATGAGGGTCGAGCCATGTGGAATCTAAATTTGGGATGAAATCCGTACCTTAGGTGGTTTTTATAGGTATGACTGATTATATATTTGTTTGATTCTTCTGGAGCATGTTTCAATCTGGTGATAAATACAAAATCTAGGACATAATAGCATGTCCATTGCATGCATGTGTATCGGTAATAGAGTCATCTATACTGTGTGTTATTTACTGCCAGTATTGCGACAGTGTTTACCCGATAAAAGTGACTGCACATGCCAAATGAGTATTCTCACAGTCAGTATGTGTAAGAAATGAACATGATATTCTGTCCTTTGTTGTAACCCTTTCACACCAAAGAAACCTGTAAACTATTTCCCAACTACAATCGGCAATATCACCTCTGCTTGGTTCTGAATAAAAGGGCCAGGGCTTTGCAGAGTTGTTTGTCACTGAGGGGGAAGCACACATCTTATATGAAATACATTTCAGTACAAGGAATAAATTTGTAAATGTATAACGGTAGACTAGAAAATTCAATCATAATATTGAACTCAAGAATCAATGCCAAGTGAAACACAAAGATTTGAATTATCAAAATTATTTTTTTCAACATTGCTGGACACATTCAAAAATGGGCAATACTCACCAATCAAATGTTTTCTACACCAAATAACTATGAATTGATGAAAAAGCACTGATAAATGGTGGAAATTATCTTAACCATTACTTTTCATTAATTTGAACACGCTTTACAAATGATTTCCTTTAAAAAATGACCACGCCCATTTAGTGATTGCAATATGTACGTAATATCAACCCCACCCCGAACTTGAGCTTTTGACCCCAGTTTTTAAATTGATACATACGGTTTACATTAGGACTTTCATGGTATGCACATTGACAAGAAAAAAAGAAATTAAGATTTCAGCCTTGCACAAATTATAAATACCTGACCGATATTTTAAGTTTTTGACTTGAAAAATAAAACTATTAATATATTGCTAGAGACTCTGAAATTAAAATTATTAAGCTGCACAATAGTTGGAATAAAAAACAAAAAACGTCTTGGTTAATACAATATTTACAAATAAAAAATTTCTAAAGTTATAATACACTGACGGGAAAAGTGGAATGGATGGATTTATAAAATATGGGAAGACTGCAATTTATTTTTGTCAGAGCGTGACTGACTGGCTTCCTGGTAGTGGCTTCACCGTGATCTCCAGTCAAGTGAATACCAACATGCCAGCAATATTTACTGTATTTGCTCTATTGCAATTAACTTCTTATTTTGACCATAGACACACATATGTCATTAAGAAAGCATGTCCAGTATATGCTACTGAAAGACGCAATACCAGTTTTACAATAGTAAGAGAATATCATTTAGATATACAAAAATATTATTTTAAAGACTTTTCTTAAAGGAATTTAAGGCATAATTAAGTATGATTATATTATGGTCAAACTGTGGTAAATTGCACTGAATATAAAACAGAATTTATAATATTGCGCTCAGTAGTAGACATAATCTGGAACATGAAATTGCGCCCTATGTGACCAAAATAATTACACTTATTTATGAAATATATGACAACAGTGGTATACAGAACTATAGAAGACTCTGACTAGCATCAATCACTTGAGATGTTAAATCTTTCTTGTAATTCTCAAAATATTACTATGCAATTTCTTCTTCTTCAATTCGTTCACCATGTTTTAACTTGACAATGATCTGAAATAAAAACAAAAAGGTGGTTAAGTGCCTGTGTCCATCAGCATACTGTGTTCCCAAACCTATGAATATATGGCAGCAGTAACTATTATAACACGCTGTAATTAGTCATTCTGTGGCCATATAGGGTCTCAGATAGTAGTTATCCAGGCAGGCAAACAGAGAACTGACAGACAGCAAAAATAGTCACATTCTAATAGCTAGTGTCAATTAAGTTAAAACCTTATTACCCCCGGTACAGACATAAAAATATTGTTACTTACATCCTTGAGTCTGGCAATCTCTTTATTGTCTGCATTCTTAGATGCTTCGTTCGTGATTAATTTCACACGGGAAGCATACCTAGAGTAGAAAACATTATGGAGTGACATTAAAATAACAATTCAAGACATTCTCCACAAAATAAACATTTATTTCATATTAAATAAAAGATTGCCGACGGACATTCACTTATATGATAAGCTCGGCTCGACAAAGTCAACAGTGGAGCTAAAAATGAGGATATCATAATTTTGCATTTTCACACAAGCGTTGAATACAAGGGGATGATGGAGTATGTGCTGTGATGTAAAAGAGAACAAGAACAGAACATGTATTTACTGTTTTATCATTGTAGCAATATATTGAGTACATGGTAAGTAACTCACGTCAATGATATGACACTCTCATCAGCATTGTAATCAGCTGGGGATATGTTGACAAACATAAGAGTCTTGGCGTTACCACCCAACGAGTCTTGCATCAAGAGAGTTAGTTTATTGTTACGATAAGGTATGAAGGACTGCCCACTTGATAACGCTGATATGACATCACCGAGTGCACTCAATGATTTATTTATAGACTGTGCTTCCTGGAGAGTAAGTGAAAAGAAAATAATCAAGTTAATTTGTCATCACAAAATAATTTTTTTCCTTTAAAAATTTTAATCAACCCCTGTAGCCTATCAAAATTATGTCAATTTTGTCCAATATTAAGAAAAAAATTTATAGAAAAATGTGAATGGGGAAAAAAAGAATGCTCAAAGGGTTACAAGTATTTGTTGACCACAGTGAAACATTCTATAGTCACATGATTTCTATTACTAGTAGATCAAAGTAATAAGACATGATAAAAACACATGTATGAAATCAGATATCTGAGAGTTCACACTGACAGTACAACTTCACTAACATAAAACAAAAGAGCATCAAGTAGCCATATAAAGTAATAAAGATATGAATAATAATTATATGACGTATAAATGTGAATAACTATGCAATGCTATTAGGTAATGTATACCTTGAGTTGTTCAGCTTGAGCATTGGTTTTAGAAATACGTTCACTTCCGGCCAAATCTACTAGGCTTAGTTTGCCTTGGGTTACTGTGCCGGTAGTCCTGTTTGTTGTCTCAATAAGTATTCCCAATATTAAATGAGATCGGGAGCTCTCAGAATTCATTTCTAAAAAATATAGAAACATATTAATTTTAAACTTGGAAAAAACAAAGAATAAAATTGTTTAGTTTCAAGTGATTTAGAAGTTAGACTTCCAGACATGGAAGGCTAGTTTGTAAACAAGTGCAGATTATGTATTTATCACACTGAAAACTTTTACAACCACATTTAATAGTTTGCCAATACTACTGTATTTGTTCTATTAGAAGTGGATATAAAGCCAAAATGTTTGTCATAAAAATCTTTTATTTTTACCACAGAAAGACCTTTTTAATTCACGTAAGCTTATGTGCTACTAATAGAGCAAATACAGTATTCACAATCCATAAAATTTCACCCATGTGTAACTGCTACAAAAATTTACGTTTTTGAAAACCGATTTTCTCCCCAAATTAACAGTGAGGTATTTTGCCATTCCTACAACAGAATAGTAGTGCAGCAATCCATCAAACATTACTTTCCTCAAAATCCAAATTATCAGCATATTATTTAAGAACACTTACTCGTAGAGGCAATATGTCTATTGTGCGACCCTTCTTCAAATAAACCAAACAATTCCTTGGCATTGATGGCAACCTGAGACACCGAGTCTTGTACAAACACCATACCCTTCTTATCCTTCTTGATTTCTAACTTCTTTTGCTGAAATTAGATCAAACGAATGTTACCCTTTTCACAGCCAGTTCTCTCTTTTCATCAAAAATTCACAAAATTGTCCCGTTTATTGTCCGCACTTTCCTTCAGAAGATTTGGACAAATATAGCTAAATGTTTTGAGTAAAAACTGAAAATTTACTAAAATTTTGTCTGTTTGCCCAAAATTAGAAATACTAAAGAATACAAGAAAATAGTGCAGAAACATTTAGTCGAAAAAGTTTGGTGGTGAAAACGTTAATTAAGTACTAGCAGCATCAGTGATAGATGACAAAATTGTAGAACACACATAATAAATTAAAGATTACCTCTTGGTTTGCTGGTTGATAGAGATCAATTAGTTTATCATTGTACAATTCCAACATGTAAGTAGTCACTTTGTATGAAAACTTCTTCCTGTATATGAAAACAAATTATCAGTTGCATGTATTGTTGTAATTGTTGATAATTTCAGTGTATGTTTGATATGGGTCTAATGCAATGTATAGAAATCATAAAAAACACATTTTTTTTTTGTTTGTTTGTTTACAGGAAAGCTGAATTTACGCTACATGCTATAAAGTGCATACATTTTTTGTCATTTTGTACATAATTTTTTATTCTATGTAATACTGTTTCAAAAAAAACGTGATACCAAATGAACACACATGTGGTAGGATGTTTACTCTGTGCATATGTAAACAT